TAGAAGTCAGTCTCCCTAGACTGCGTTCTTTTACCTTGGAGCACGCCCTGCCTACTGCCCTTACGAATTCTGCACCACTGTCCTCCTGACCCACTATACCGCAGCAGCACTGGCGTTCACTTGTGCTCTCCCCTCTACCCACAGTGCTTGAGCACTCAACCTGCCTGAGCCAACAACTACTTATCTTTCAAGTCTCAATTTAAAATATTCTCAGAGACAAGCTAGTTTCAGGCTCTTTGCCACATGCCTCCAGAACCCTCTGTGCTTCCACACTGGGTGATTTACTTGTTCAAGGTGTCTCCCCATCTAGCATGTAAACATTATGAAAGCAGGGACCACGCGCTCTCACTGAACACCGCATCTGCAGCAACATGCCTGGCACGTAGTAGATACACAACAGTTACTTAGCAGATGACTAAACAGACCAACCCATATTCACTTCCTTACCTAGAAACAAACTTCAGTAAAACGCTTCAGAAAGTATAACCAGAGTAAGGCTTATTCTACTAAAATGTCAAATAGGATTTATTTTCCTCAAAGACTGCACAATATTATCTATTTATCAGAAAACTGCAGGCCCTTCCAAATTTCAAATCGAAAATGCTACTGCATTTTCTTTAGAGAAGGCCTAATCCTCTTTTCCTTCATGTTCCATGAACCCAAACCTACTTCTCATAAATGTTATTTTATTACAGTAGGTAGTTAACATCTCTGTATTATGTTCTCACTATCTTCCTTAACTACAGGTTCCAGGATTTTCGAAAGGAGCAAATGAGGCCATAGCAGCTCTATGAATTTCCATGTTTCCCACCCTCATACACAAGGAGCACGATCACCAGTAGGACTTCAGAGATCTCAAGCCTCTAAACTCTGGAAGGACACGGCAGGACACAATAATGAGCTTAATATTTATACTATGTTATTTTCCTCTATGATTTTCTCATGTTCATCAAGAAGAATTACTTATATTAAGCAACTGCAAAGAAGAAAAAAAACCCCTGAAAATTAAGAAAAGTTTTCTTTACCTTTTTAATATCTGTTTTTGTCCGGAGACCCCAGCCCCTCTGTAACGTGCGAAAAATTTCAACCTCTGGATATTGGCGCTTGGTAAAGCACTGGTTTTGGCAGCGCCCTCCAGCGGGACACACGGTGGGGTGGCACTCATAGAGCAGCATGCGGTTGATGCACTCAGAGTCGATCCCACACGGGTTCTCATCAGTAGCTTTGCAGTTGCAACGGGGAATTTCAGACAAGTCTGCAGTGAAGATCTGTACCCTGCCAATGGGACGGTTCACCTGGAGGAAAAGAAAAATACCACAGCTGTACTATAGGTAAGTCAACACAAAGCAATTTAGGACTTATAAAAGATTTCTTTTCTTTAAAGTTGCATGCCACATTTTACATGATTCTGAACTATCAAGATTTAGCAGGATTATTCACAATAGCTAAAATGTGGAAACAATCAAGTGTCCACCGATAGATGAATGAATAACCAAAATGTGATAAAATGACGGAATATTATTCAGCCTAAAAAAGGAAATTTGTACACATGATACACAGCACAGATGAACCTGGAGGACATTATGCTAAATGAAATTAAGCCAATCAAAATACACAAATAATGATTCCACTTACATACACAGAGACAGAAAGTAGAATGGTGGTTGCCAGGGGCTCAGAGGAGGCGGAAATGGGAAGTTATTGTTTAATGGGTATAGATTTCAGTTTTACAAAATGTAAAGAGTTCTAGAGATGGATGGTAGCAATGGCTGCAAATATTATGAATGTATTTAATACCTCTTAAATATGGTTAAGATAGGAAATTTTGTCATCTGTATTTTACCACTGTCTAGAAATTGGAGGAAATAAAGACTTAGACAATCTAACATAAAAATAAAGCCTCACTTGATACACAAAACATAATACCACAAATTTTTAAAAAATCATTTCCAAAAAACCAAAATTTCAAAGTTGATAGGCCAAGTAAATTGTAATCTGGCTTTCTGCTATTGCCACAAGGTGGAGCCACTTTAGCTGCTACATTAAAAAATATATACATGTTACTTTTTTAGTAGTTTATTTTTTATGGAGGTACCGGGGATCAAACCCAGGACCTCATGCAAGCTAAGCATGTGTTCCATCACTGAGCTATACCCTCACCCCACCCCCACCCCCACATCACCATTCTTCCGCCCCCCTTCACCATTCTTAAGTAGTAAATGTTTGGCATAAAAAGGTCTCTGAGTCAGAGGGGACCTATATGTGAAGATGCATTTTAATACTATCTTGACGTGAAATCTTTTTAACCGACCACAGCCATGTCACCCAGGCATTTATCTGTGGTGGTGCTAGTTCTGAAAACTTCGTGAAAGTCCGGTATGATAAAACATAAAGGCCAAATAGCTGCTGGGATACTGAAGTCATTAGAATTTTTCAACTACTAGCAACAATGTGAAGGGAGAGGGAAAAAAAAAGATGCTCCACAACAAGTTGGATCTGTGCACTAGGAGAACAAGTCTCCCCTGCTTGACATTATTTCAGTGGGAACAGTCAAAGCACCAGTTTTCAAAAACTCACCCCATACATAAAATTTGACTCTTCAGGAACTGCATGATCTTGGTAAGTTACTTTACTTGCAAGGCATAGCTTGCAAGACTGTTGTGAGAATAATCTACAATCTATTTGTAGAATACTGTCTTCAATCGTTCTCTGTAACAACTTAAAAGGACATGACTCTCATTGCCAGATCTCTTACCAGCTTCTTCAAAATACTGGTAAATACGATAAACTTCTTGTTAATGAAGGAATAGTCTCACCACATGCAACTGGAAGTCACAAACCTACCTAGCAAAACAAGTTCTAGGGGCTGAGCTCAATCATCCGAGACTTGAGGTCCTACGTAAGGCATGTGAACACTAACCTCTGATCGCAGGTGAGTGTCTTTACCTGATGCCACCACACCGCCAAGGTTTCATCTAACTCCTTTTCTCTATATACAGGTATGTTTCAATCATTCCTTCTTGACATTTGATCTAACCTGTTATTAATCCCAAATAAGTTTCCTGCCTAATATAACAAAAAGAGAGAGGGAAAAAAGCAAAAGCAAAAACAAAAACCACACACAAAACAACCAACCACACATACTTAAGTAAGAACAACACAGGTATGTAACTGTAGATCAAGGATTGACAAACTTCTTCTGTAAAGGACCAGACAGTAAATATTTTAGGTTTTGCTGCAGGCCGTATCTCTGGTGCATGTTGCTCAACTCTACCACTGTAGCTCGAAAACAGCAACAGATAACATATAAAGGAACAAGCATGGCTGTGTGCCAATAAAACTTTATTTATGGACACTAGTATTTGAATTTCATATAATCTTCGCATGTCAGGAAATATTCTTAAAAAAATTTTTTCCAACCATACATAGTAGGCCAGATTTGGCCCATGGACAATAGTTTGCCAACCCCTGTTCTAAATCTTTTCCCTGGAAATATGTTTTTGATTTTTAAAGGTGGAGGAAAGAAGTTGGCCTCTAAATTCTGTGATTACATCACTCACAGGAAGTTGGTCTCTCAATACCCAGATTCAGTATGGTTGATGGGCGGCTCTGAAATGCCTACGTGCTGTTACGTGGCATCTATGACTGTGGGAACAGACGCTTTTCCTTTCTGTGAGGACGAAGTACACTTCAGTGTTATGTCCCCAGGTACAATAACTCCACTTAACTCTCAGTCTGTCACCAGTGTCCATTTAGAACTAATTTTAGGCTTTATTTTTTTTCTCCCCAACAGCTTTAACTTTTTGTAAAGATTGATATTTTATGACAGTTATGCTTAGAGATCTTCCAAAGATTAAAAAAAATTTTTTTACCTATTAAAAAACTCATTCTATCTTGCAACTACCAGGCAGGTCCATTAGGTCCTTTTACAAATTTAAGCTTTATTACAGAATTTTAATGATCTTACTTTTCCTATAATTCTTTACTAGTTTATCTACCTCTTTTTACTTAGTGATGCCCAACTATGCTAAAAAAGACTAAAATAGTAAGCGGAAGAATGATGGAATCACAAAGGCATGATGCAACAGTGAAACAGTCACACTCTAGTATGGTCTTCTCATCCAGGAATGATGGCATTACAAATATTTTGCAACAAGAACCTTGGCAATCTCATTTTGTTAAGAATTTGTAGTATTCCTTCATGTGATCTGATGTTTGAGAACCAAAACTAACTTGATTAAAAGGTTTTTAAAAAGCAGTTTCAGTAAATACTTACTAAAATGTTTAATAAATTTGTTTCTCACTATTCCTTTATTTTTACTTCTATAAATTATCTGTAAAAGTAACCTTACAATATATATAAAACACCAAAGGGTCTGTCGGACACAGATGATAAATGGTGATGCCTCTTTTATCAGGTGCACTAGAGTGAGGTACACCTAACGTGAATTCCTGTGACCTTAGGAATCTTGGTCACAATAGTCGATTAAAGTATCTTTACTATCAGCCATTACAAGACTTACCATGTGTATTATTCATACTATCTCCAGGTCATTTATCATTTTTTTTATCATGGCTCTTTGGTCCCTTTCAAACCGCAAGATGCTCACTGTGATCAGAATCTATTCCAATCCACTTGCATGAAAAGACTTTACACAAAGCAACAGAAACAAGACTGTATCAACACACAACTGATTTTTAACAACTGATTTTATAAAGTGCATACAATGCACTAGAAATGGTGCTCTTGCACTTTTTTCTTATCTTCTTTCAAATTCATTCCTCTACTTTTAAAAGCAACTGTGGTTGTGCTTCCAACTCTTGTCATGAACAGAGTGGGGACAGGGAAGCTACAGAGGGTCTCTCCTGGAGACGAGGCCCCGTAAGGTCTTGTCTCACCTTTATGTGTTTATACGGTGGTGGCTTCTTGTCATTCTTTCGATCTTCCTGCAGCTGTCTCAGCTCTTTTTGGGCCTTTAACTCCTCAAATCTTGCTGCAGCTTCCTGAAGAGCTAAGAAAAGACACAGCACAGTCACTTAATCGCCACGTAAAACTGTTTATTTTGCTTTTTTCCCCTTATAAGTTGAAGAAAATTCCTATTTTAGACAAAAGTCTAAGGCGTATATATGATTTCTGTTTTCAAGGAAGTTATAGTCTTCAAGGTATTCAGATATACCACTAAAACAAAACATAATCCACCACTAAATAGCACACAATACAGACTACCAGCTTCAGAGCAAAGTTTAAAACAAAGCAAAAGTTTACAAATAGCTGAATAATTTGAAAACCCATACACACCACCTCCTAACGACAGCCTGACTGCGCTTGCTCGGCAGTCACTGCCTTAAGCCTAGCTCCTTCCTTGGTCCTGAATGTTCTGCTTCCACAAGCAGCGTACCTCTTCCACGCCCAGGTAGCATGCTGCATTCATCTGCAGGAAATTCAAAGTTTTCCTTCCCTTCTTGCCCACTCTCTGGAGACCTACTCACTCTTCTAAGGATGATTCTGTAAATATCAACCATTAGCCCAGCGACATACAGACAGACCTTAATGGCTACTCTGCACTCCAGCTCTGCACTTTCTTATGCTTCAGAGACTGTAGTATCTGAAGAGTTCAACACAATCTTATGATTCTCTTTCTTTCCTTCTTAAAACAACATTTTAATTATTTTTGACTCAGGTTAAAAACTCTGAAAAGAATTCCAAATTTTCCCACCTTCTGCTCTGTGGCTTTCCCCATGCTCTGTCAGTTTGGAGAAAATCTCCCCTCTGATCTATCCCCTTCTCTCCATTTTCCTGTCACCATCTAGCAGAGTTTGTGTTGCCTGGTGTTGTTCTAAATGTCTTCCTTCCTTCCTTCCGTTATTCAGCATTTCCTCCCTAGTTTATGCACCTACTGTCTGTCTAGTATCCATCATCCTCTCTACCCCATGGACACGTCTCTGTGATGGTCCCAGCATCTCTGCCTGAACTACTAAAACTGCCACCTTGTTGACATTCCTGGCTTCTCTCATGTTCCAGTCAGACTGAGAATTCGAGAACTCTGCTCGACAATGTAACTTGCCTACCTTCTCAGTAAAGCAGTCCAGTGCTTCCCAAACCCCATGCTTAAACTATACCAAATACTTGGAGGTAGGTAACTCATCATGTTAGATTCACCGTGTGCTTTGATATGTGCTGTCTTCTTGTTACAATATTTTAAGTTAACTTTTGTTAGGGATGGGTAATTAAGTTGGTTGGTTGGTTGGTTGGTTGATTGGTTGATTGGTTTGTTCGTTCATTCATTCATTCATTTATTCACTCATTCTTAGAGGAGGTACTGGGTCCTGAACCCAGGACCTCATGCATACTAACTAAGCATGCGCTCTATCACTTAAGCTACACCCTCCCCCCACCATTAACTTGTTAATTTCTTCACAGTCAGTGCAGGGGTCAACAGTTTGGATTCTGGAGTTCACCTACTAGAGTTTGAAACCTTCCTCTATCACTTACTGGCACTAGGATTTTGAGCAACTAATTCCTTCCTCCCACCCCCGGCTCCAACCAGGGGAAAGTGTGAATGCAGTCCCCCACTACCATAAATCATGCAGTCGAGTTTCCCACATCTGGGGAAACTGCAGGGCTCAGCACAACCAGAGAGCAGTGGCTAAGCCTTGCCCTGGGAAAACCACCTTCGTGATCATATCTCCCCTGCCAGGTTAAGTATTTGGGCAACTAATTTAACTTTTATGTGCTTCAGTTTTCCTCATCTGTAAGATAAAAATAATGGCATCTAACGTATACGGTTGCCACGTGGACTTAAGGCAGAAAACAAACTTTGAACAGGGCCTGACCAACAACAAACGGTAACTATTATTATGGCTCTTCTTCAAAGCATCCAAACTTTGATCCTCACTGCTGCTTTGTCTCCTTGTGGTCTGCCCCCCCTCAGCGTACCATGCACACTTCCGCCACAGAACTCAAAGAATGGCATTTTGACTACTAGTATCTGTGTCCCTTTCCCCTACAAAAGCATGTGTTCCTTGAAGGCAGAGGCATCCAGCCAGCCCAGGGTCGAGGCACAGAAGAGCAGATTCCTGGAGCTGCAGCAAGCTCAGACTTGAGATACTCCCTGCACTCCACCTGCCACCTCAGCCTGGGTGGCGCCAGCTCTGTGCCAGCAAAGGTACTGGTCACTTGGTCCCTGACCGTCTGAGACTGTAAGACTTAAGGCTCAAACTCCAGTAGGATTAATACTGGTAGCACATACCTGCACAGGGAAGTTGCCTCACGTAATTCATTATTTTTGACCCTTACCAATGATTAATTAGTATCTTCCTTTAACTTTCATCGATACATAGGATATAAACTATATGCCCCGCAGATTATTTTTGTGTTATCTCACTGAATTCTCAAAGCAACCTTCACTCATTACACAGTGAGAGAAAGCTGAGGCTCATAGCTGACTTAACCCCTCCTGGCCACAAATGGCCCCCACTCTTTCACTGATAGGCCAACTTTAAAAAAACTTCTTTGATTTAGAACATTTATGCTCTGACTTTCACTATCTGTTATGCTCTATAATTTCAGATGAACTTCATTTCCTTCCAACAAACTAAAAAATTTTCCTGGAACAAACATAGTTCTGCTAGAGACTCTGGCCCTTGCCTAGCAAACCACAGTGTTTATTCTACAGAACACTTCCAAAGTTCCAGTACTTACTTGATGAGATGCCAAGAAAATAAAACTGGTAAGACAAAAAAACCTCCCACAAAGAAATTCTAGTTAAAAGTTAGGGTCAAAAGTAATGAATTATGAGTCAACTTCCCTGAAAAATCCTATAGCTGCAACCACATATTGCCCTTAGAGGGTAAAAGACAGCTGCTGATGAGAGTATATGAATTCTAAAGCATGTAATTCTAAGAGAGCAGATAATCAGGCAATAGAGGTCTGTGTTGGCCCGAGAAACAAACAAAATAAAGTTACCTTTTTTATATGTCCCGTCCACTCCTTTGCCCATCTTGTCCTTGCTGCTCACATCCCCCTCCATGTAGGGAAAGACTCGGGCTTGGTGAGTCCACAAATAGTCATTCGACCCAAAGAAGAGCACAGGGAACTCGCCCACATCATGTCTCATTTTGTCGATATTGGAAGGTACAGCTCGAGGATGGCAGATCTCAGCTGGCCACCACCTGGGAAAGGTGAAAACAAGGAAAGAAACCTCTAGAAGGCTGCAAGGCACCAAGAAAAATCCTACTTTTAGGACAGGAATAAGGAATAGCAACGTCTGTGCACACTGAAGTTCAACCTAGGGAATTCTTACAATCTAACTAGAGAAGAAACAAGTGGCATGGGCCAAACCCTGAAGATGCCCACCCTCACACACACGCCCACTTCCTTAGACTCAGCTATTTTACTTCAAGGACTCTATAAGAGGAAATAATCAGAGATATGAACAAAGCATTATGACTATAATGCTCACTGAAGTATTAGCTAAGAATGTAAACCTGGAAACAATTGAAATGCATGTTAAGGGAATGACAGAAGTGGGTTTGGGACACCACAGAATGAAATACAATCTGGCCTGCAAAAAGGAAATTTCCAATAATTGTTAGGGGTGCAGAAAATGACATCAAGAGATGCCTCCGCACTCCTACCTCCGCCCACCAAAAGGCAGTCACGTAAATGAGTACAACCACTTTTGAAACGACAATTTGGCTTTAGCTACCAAAGCTGGAAACCCATCCCCGGATACTCTACCCCACGGACGCCCTAGAGAAGCTCCTGTGCATGTACACACACCAAGAGACACCGACAAAATGTGCATCTTCCAAACATGAGAGCGGATCAACAGCCACACTGCACTGTAAGGCCGCCCACAGGAGCACCGCAGACAGTGACGGCCGAATGAACCAGAGCCCTGCGCTAACTGTGACAGCTCTCGGGAGCGTGAGAGGGACAGTAAGAAGCAAGCTGCAGGAAAATAAAGCAACAATTCCTTTACACAAAGGTCTAAAGCACAGAACAAACATTCATGTGGTAAACCTACAGTCAGGCCAAGAAATAAAAAACACAAAATGCAGTAAGTGTTACTTCCAGAGGTGGGGCGAGAATGAATTTGGACAGGAGCATACAGGGAGCCTCAAAAGTGCCGGTAAAGTGCCTTTTTTTTAACTGGAAGGTACATACACAGGTGTTCCATTTGTTATTCTTTAAAATCATATATGTCATAATTTTTGTACATTCCATATCCAATAATAATAATTTTAAAAGGAAAAAGACACAAAACTGGGTATAAACAACTATAAGGCCAATTATTTTAAAGGTGCATGCACGGGTGTGTCTGCCAAGTACATACGCCAAAATATGCAATGTATCTTCCTTGAGTGTGAGATTATGGGTTTGTTTTCATTATTAAATTTTCTACAGAGAATATATCTTATTCATAACTGTGAAGTTTTTTTCTTTTATAAGGAAACTTAATGGGAGAGGAGGTGACGCTTGTTTAGTTAGATTGAAAAGAGAAGAGAAGAGAAGAGAAGAGAAGAGAAGAGAAGAGAAGAGAAGAGAAGGCAGGAGAGGAGAAGAGAAAACAAAAGAGAAAGAAACGGAGTCTGGTAAAAGGAATGAGTGCCAGTCTCCTTCACGTTTACTCACCTGTATCGTCCGACTTTTACCCAGACAATTTCCCTGTAATGTGGCTTTTTGCCTGCCTTACAGTCATTGCAGTACCAGTTTCCTTCAGGGATGTCAATGTTCAGGCACTCACGATGAAAAGCAGCAGGGCAAGAATCACAGCACAGAAGGCTGCCTCCTGTGGGAATCAAGAAACCCGGTTCTCAGGATCGTACGGACCCAGCTGAAACAGCTTTTGCTCAGCTCCTAACCAACTGTTTATCTCCCAGACAAAGGCTTAATAATAATTTCGTTATTCAGAAAGACATTTCTTCAAGAGTATTCCCTCACCTATGTGATTCACACCCCTGGAGGCATGTTAGATTCACAGCAAGTCATGAGATTTTATTAGCAAAATTAGGTTAGGGCAATGAGGTCAGAAGGAAACCTCTAAAAGTCATGTATCTACGTACACACACACTCTCTCTTCTTCCTCTTCACTATAAAAACGAGAGTGTCAGTGACATACAGTGAGCACAGTGTAAAGAGCACAAGCTCTAACTGGTATCAGACGTGAGCTCTAAAACCATACGACTTTATGGAATTCGCTTTCCTTGCTGAGCTTTCATTTCTTCAATGGTAAGGTGTCTTCTACAATGAACAGTAAATAATCACATCTGTTTGAGAACCAAATAGGCAAATAAGTTGTCTGACATGTAAGCAGCCTCCATAAGGTCAGTTCCTTCCCTTTTCAAATTACGCTCTAATCTTTGTTTTGCATTCTCACGACACCTATGGGCCCTTGTTGGAATAATACTGGTAAATACATAAACTTAATAAAGGAACATAGACTATGTTAAAATACAACGATCAAAATGTTAGAGCAAGAGATTGGAGTTATGTATGTTTCTTTGTAATGCACAAATAAGATTCAGAAGATACTCCAAGATACCTAACAACTGCAGTATCTGTGATTTTCATTGGTGACAAAAATCACAGGTACTAATAATGTGGTTTATAGCCTAAACTTCAGTTAGATATACCCTACCCTCCATCCAAGTTTTCAGATACCAAGTTAATTTTGTATTTTGGAGTGATGATGAATTTTCACGTCTTAAAAGATATTTACTCAAAGTGACAACTTACATATCCGAATCTGAAACCATGATTGAAGATGATAAAAAACTTCAGGTAAAGAGGAGTCACATTTAATGAACATAATAAATGCCTTATTTATCTTATGCTGGAAATGACCATGCTTCCAACATGTTCGATTGTAGCACGTTAACTCCAAGTTTCCCCCTGAAGAGTTGGTGAAGGATAGATTTGAGCAAGGTATATGCCCACGCCCACCTTGGTCTCACTGTGCTTCCTTTTTCTCATAAAATCGTATGAAAAACTTAATTTTGTGACAGCATCCTTATACGATTTCTACCTGTGCCTTTTCTTTTTCTCAATAAGAGTAGGCTCTTAAAACAAGCCTTGGGGTGCTTTCTTGTTGGGGCCAGGGACGTGCACTGGAGACCCAATTCCCACTTCAACGCGAGCAGCTCTTACTCTACCTGTGTTGTGTACTGGAGCTCAGACCCAGAGTGCGACTGCACTTGCAAAGAAAGTCTGTTACTACAGAACAAGTTTTAAGAACTTGCTTACTCAATACATATAACCTGTACTCTACACTCGGAAAGTCCTATTTGGCTATTCTTACGCATTGTGGATGAGTCAAACAATCTGAGCGTGGGACATTAAGAGTGACGTAGGGGGAGGGTTACAGCTCAGTGGCAGAGTGTGAGTTTAGCATGTGCAAGGTCCTAGGTTCAATCCCCAGTACCTCCATTAAAACAAACAAAACCTAATACCCACCCTCAAAGAAATACACTTAAAAAAAAAGTTTAATTAAAAAAAGAAGAATGACGTAGAGTCACGTAAGTTTAACTGCCCCAATAATGGAATCCCTTCTACAACGTTCCTCTCTATGCTTAGTTGTCTGCTGAGTCACAATTTGATTGCTAACACATTTGCCAACCACATGGCCTTGGTAGAAAAATCTTCCTTTTACTAAGCTGGCATTTGTCACACACTAGAAATATGTCACGTACAACAGGCATTTGAATCAGGCCTTCAAATAAGACACGAAGAGAAATCTGCACAGAATAACAAGTGAAGAAAGGCCAAGGGTGTGAACACAACAGGTTCTGACAGGATTTGTCTGGTGACGGATGGGAGGCAGGCAGGAGGGTCTGTCTGTGGCAATAAAGGAAAAGAAAGACAGGAAGACAGAAGAGGGAAAACCACATGAACCATCAAAAGAAACCAGAAGATGAAAAAATGATATTTGGTAGAAGAGGATAAGAGAAATATTTTTAATATAAATAACATTTTTATGAACAAGTATATTTTCCAAAATAAGAAAATTATAGTGAGCTCAGTGTTTTATATTTCTGCAGAACAGTTTTAACTCATTTTTTTGCAATATGTTGTTTGACTGATGTACATGAAGAAAATCTGGTCTCTCACTGATAAACAGTTGTGAAAACAAGTATTTTAATAACCTGTTCAATAACTATACATATTCCTTCTTTGATATTATACACACTGCAACTTCACAGGGAAGACCTTAGTTACAGTTGAAGCTGAAACTGTATCAACAAACTTTTAGTACTATTACACTAAAATTCATTGATCTGTCTCATACTTTGAATGGATCTTTTATATATGCATTTTTAAAAAGTCATACATTGTTCACATGGAAAATTTTGGTTTACTGACTCTGGAAGATCTTCCAATTGTTGATCTATTTCATTATATAATACTAAAACACCACATTTGTTAACATCACCATGATTTCGTTAGTAAATACTAGGAAGCGGTCAAGCTGAGGGTGGTACAAAACAGTTTTCCAAAATTCTAATTTTCACTTAAGAGCTCAAATGTTATCACTGGCAGCAATTTCTGACAGCCCCTACCTTGATCTGTGCTAAGGTGCCAGCAGTTTTACCCACTACTAGTGTTACATCATCTGTACAAATGTCAACAAAGTAACAAAGGCAAGTAACATCTTGGTATTATTATAAAAAGTGTTATGATCTCACAGAGGCCCCTGAAAATGTCTCTGGGTCCTCTCAACTTCCCAAGGATTCATGGATCACATTCAGGAGGTCCTGCAACTCCTAAGTTTTCTTGGGGACTGAGTTAGCATAATAGTATCCATTATTATGCCACAAGTTAGAAATGCCATCTCATTTGCACATCTACCATGAAACCATCTCTTTCCCCTATAGAATTAAAAACAATCTAATGCAGAAACTTTCATCTTTTCGTTTTTAAAAACAAGAAAGTTTTCAGAGCCTTACAGCCTCCCAGACACCTATTTTCATTCTAAGAGCAGAATCACAGAATATTATATTTAAATGCTTTTAAATACCAAAACTGTCTTTCACTTGCTTCTAAACAAAACAAAGGTGGTATAATGATAAACAGGCAACAGTCTTCACAAAAGACAGTTTTTCAAGGAGCAGGTATTATAAGAGCCAAATCAATGTATGATACAATAAAATTTTATACAGGATAATCACAAACCTAACATATTTAAAATAAAAAAACAGTAACATCCTATGTTCTTTAAACTATCCTGAACTATATATCAAAATTCCATTTTCTACCCACAAAATTGTACTTAATATTCTATTTTCTTTATTCTACATTAGCACCACAGTTTGAGGGTACAGCTATGTCCCGATGTAAACCAACTAGCCACGTTACATAAATCTTAAGAGTGAAAAACAAGTCCCAAATGACCATTTTCAATCACACAAAGCAGTTATAAAACACCTTTCTTGGCTTTAGCACTATTTACCATATCCAAATTCCTCAAAAGGGATGCTAATTCAACTATATATGCTGACAGTTTTTAAAATTAGTTTCTCAGAATGTTCATAACCAGCCAGATTTTCATGAAACAGCATCACCAATAAGAAGATATTTTAAAAAACAGAAGGTAAGGGATTTCCGGTAAAGATGGTAGAGTAATAGGACCACCAGCTCGCCTCTCCTTGTGACTACAAGGACACCACAACTGACTAAACAACTATCGAAAAAGACTGGAACCTAGCAAAAAAAGATCTTCAACTGGAAACATGAAGAGGGAAACACAGAAGGACTGGAGGAGGAGCGTGCTCTTGATATAATTGGGCCCCATACCCCCCCCCGGGGTGAGAGACCCACAAGCAGAAGAAGAATTAAGTCACAGAGGCCCCCCCACAGGAGTGAGAGTTCTGAGCCCCATGTCAGGCTCCCCAGCCTGGGGTGGAGGAGGAGGAGACCCCAAGATATCTGGTTTTGAAGGCCAATGGGGCTTAACTCCACGAGCCCCTCAGGACTGGGGGAAACACAGACTTCATTCTCTTGGGAAGGGCACATAGAATCTCCAGCGCACCAGGTCCAAGGGCAGAGGCAGTGATTTCATTGGAACCTGGGGCAGATCTGCCTGCTGGTTTTAGAAGTTCTCCTGGGGAAGTAGGGGATGCCTGCAGCTCACTCAGGGAACAAAAAAGACATTCCAGGAGTGTTCATCTCCATGAGCTTTCCCCTCCAGGCTGACACCTTGATTGGATCATTAGCAATAAAACCTAGCCCCACCCAACAGCCTATAGGGAAGCCTCAGGCCAAACATACTGGGTGGGAACAGGGCTCCATCCAACAGCAGGCTTTCTGAGCCACAAAGGCCTCTACACATAAAAGGTCCAGGACGGAGCTTCACCCAGCAGTGGACAGGCACTGGCTCCTCCTGCCAGGAAACCTGCC